AATCCAGGCCATTACTTATTTGTTGTATATATGTGCTAGGATTTTCATATTAATTTTATTTGAAATTAAATGAAAATCTCTATTAAACTCAGGGGCGGAATTAGGGGGTGGCTGGGGTAGGCCATGGCCACCCCCTTGATGATGTTTAAAATTTAATTTTGTAAATGTTGTCAAACAAATATTCACAGCTAAGTTGGCTTAATATGAGATTTTTAAGGGATTTCTCACCTGAGATTATGAGTTCGACTCTTGCTACTCTATTTTTTTTTTTTATCATTTTGAGATACATATTTTTATGTTTATAAACATATTTGATCTTGGCCACCCTAATGTAGAATTTCTAGTTCCGCCACTGATTAAACTTCATCAAATTTTTATATTATTTGCTAGATTAGATGTATATGACCCATAAGATTTATAGCTCGGTATATTTTTATCTACTATGCGCCCCACTAGTTGTTTGCTATTAAAATGAACCTCAATTACTTTAAGTTAAAATGTTTGTAATTGATTTAATATATAATTAGGTAATATCCTGTTATTATTATTGGTTATATCCAAATTTAGTTACCAGATACAAAAATATGAATGGTTTTCGCCACTTATATTAGTATATGTTTGAAAAAGTAAATAATGGAAGCTCATTGTCAAACCATACATATATATATATGGAAAATTTTTCAGAAAGGTCCTTAAGTAGGTCTTTTTATTGTAAAGGTCCTTTAAAAAAAAAGGTGGCACAAAAGGTCTTTTATCACACTTAGGTTGTGGAGAGGGTCCTTTGGACGGATTCCGACCATTGAATTTTTTTTCTGGCCAAAACAAGTCATGGCCAAAACAAAATGCAGATATAGTAGAATATACTTTTGTGGTTTAACTTTCGTATTGATCTACTTTGAATTGAACTCAATCTCTAGCTATTAAACTTACTTAGATCAATTCTTTGTTACTTTAAATTCAGATGAATGTAATCAATAAAAATTGTAGGTAATAACCTATTATATTATTGGTTATATCCGAATTTATTATATACTTAATTTTGTTATTTGATTTTTTGTATTGATTTTGTCGACATATCCTATGATTTTGTAAAATTATTGATTTTTTATCACGCCTAGAATCATGGTAATGTTTATCTTTAATAATGCAACTAGTATGTAGCCTGGGTGTTGCAACGGGTTGCTACTTTAATTATTCTTTGTGATTATATGTATTTGATATTTATATATATTTTTTTAATTAGACCTTGTGATAATCAATTAATACATCTATTTTCATGTTATAACATAGTGGATAATTGGCTTAGATGGTCAAATAACCATCCTTCTTATAAGAGGTTGGGTGTTTGAATCCCCTTATCATCATCTTTTCATATGAAGCAATATTGGATGACGTGGCATAATGATTCAAGTTCATTGAGTAGTGATGATGTGGCATAATGAGAGATTGAATAGGTGACGTGGCGTGGTCTACGTGGCATATAGACGTTCTTAGTAATGCCTTTTAATATATTAGTATAGATAAACATGGAATGTTTGATAAATAATCGTGTATAACAAATTTAAAAAGAGGATAAAATTTGGTAAATAGAATATTAATAGAGTCTTAGGATAATAACTGATTTACTTTCCCTCAAATTTTAGTTTTTCCTGAGATTTTTTTTACTTTTTCACGCAATTTGGTAATATTAACAAAAGCTTAGGATAATAACTTACATACTTTCCCTCAAAAAATGATAAAATTTGGAAAAATACCATAATTTAATCAAGGTTTATGATTTTAAATCTATGTTTTTTAAGGAAATACTTTAATTTTTTTTTTCTAAAATAAGATCAGATTCGTTCAAAATTTTTCTTAACATGCTTATCGTAAAATAAAATCAAAATGTTGGTTTCCTGGCCTCCACGTCAAAAAAATCATAAAGTTGGAATTTTTACAATATTCAAATAACATATGGTCATTCGTCAAACACAATAAACTTTATTTTTTAGGTAATGACAAAAGTACACATAAGCTAATTCCTGAGCTATAAACAGATCAAAAAATTTACACTTGTGTTGTACGGATTAAACAAGGTCTATGAGAAGAAATTTTTTTAAGAAAAAATGTATCTTCTTCCTCTGATCGATTTGCTCATTACATATCTTTGTACCTTAAAATTGCGTCTTCTTCCTCTGACCGATTTGCTCATTACATATCTTTGTACCTTAAAATTGCGTCTTCTTCCTCTAATCGATTTGCTCATTATATATGTTTGGACAATAATTTTTTGTTTTTTGGTTTGTGTAATTTGAAATTCAAACCAGCTTTCTACAAGGTAAAAAAATCTTATATTTAAAACAACCAATCAAAATTGAAATTTAGATTAGCAATGGAAGGAGTTTGATTTAAGATCTATTGAAGAATATTGCCTATATAATGGCTATTGATTGCTTATTTTTAGGAAATATTGTTACTAAATGATACATAAGTTATCCATATAAATTATTGTCCAAATCTTTTCAAATATTCTATTATGATATCTAACGTACTGTTTAGGAAATAAATCAATGATATACAATATATAGTGTTTTTATCAATTATTTTTTTTTGACACATAAAATATAAAATTTAAATTAAAAATAAAACTAAACTAATTAAAAAACGATACTCGTAGAGTCGTAGTACCTAACCATTGGGTAAAATACTAGATACAAAGAAATCACATTTAACATGTAACATTATCTTGACAAATAGAAAAAAGAATATTTTTGATTCTCATTAATATAGCTAGATTACGTGTATATACAAAACAGAAGCATGATATGTCCTAATTATAAGGAATACAACTGGCCATAGTAGCATGAGTTTAGCCTAAATATAAGGGGTTAAATATTAGCTTTCCTTATTTATAAATACAAAAAAAATACTTACTATATTTAACAATTATACATTGTATTCTTTCAAAAAAAACAAAAAAAAAAAAGAAAAAAAGAAAAAAAAAAAAGAGTTTGCCACGTAATTGCTCTATTTCCACTTTTTTTTTCATTTGGTTATTATATAGGATTCGTCCGATATTAGGATATGAGATTACTTATATATTTAGAATTGGTCTCAATCTCCTTAATTATTATAAAGGTATAATGATAAACAAAGACGGTTCATTATTTTAATTAAGAATAATCATCTAATTTGACAATTAGGTTGCCATTAGAATAGCTCTAAAGGTGGTTTGATTGAGAGTTAGGGCGTGTTATCTTCAACTTATTTTCAGTCCAGTTTAGTTCAGTTCAGCTCCAATTAGTTCAAATCAGTTTAATTCAGTTCAGTTCCTAATTTCCTTGTCTCATAAAATATTTAGTTCAGTTCAGTTTAGTTCAGCTCAGTTTAGTAAATGAGAACATACCCTTAATTTAAATTTAAGGAATATGCATACAGAAATCAAACCACAATAGCAAATATATAAGTGATCATTCATATCAAACTTGGTATATATACATTGTGACTTAGCTAGTGAATGAGGATTGAGGATCACGATCCTATTCGCTATCAATTAAGAAAAATATTATGATATCAATGCATGCGCAGTATGAACTAATAATTAGCAATGTCCAAAATAACGTATGGTCGTATACAAAATAAACAATAATAGTGTGTTTTATAGGTAATGTCCTATTAGAATTTTGGTTAATGCCTTATATGCAAACATAATTGAAAGCTATATCTTCTTTTTTTCGGATCAAACAAGTATTCCAAAACAAAAATCATTGTCTTCTCTAATTTGCCTCACAACCCAGATTTCGAAAAATTGTTAATTTTATTTTATTTTATTTTTGCATACATATAATGACTGATTTTGCATTCTTTGTTTGCAATTATCCAATTAAAATATATTATTTTAGGATTAAAAACAATCCCAGATTCACACATTAATCCAAATTTCGAATGAACTCAAACTTCACATATAATATGTAGATCGATGCATATTTTCAATTTTCATTGATGTGCAAGTGTATTTACAGGACAAAGATTACCATAATGGTGGTTTATTTCATCCATGGATGAAGAACCTTGAGGATCTTTGAAGAACGGTGAAGAACACTGAAGAACAATTATTTGATTTAATTAATTTTACATTTTTGATTTAATTAATAATTGATTTTAATTAAATAATTTTGAAACTTAAAAAAGAATTTTTGGAAAATCAAAAATTATTTTTGGAAAAATGAAAAAGAATTAAAAATGAAAAATTCTAAAAATAAGGTTTGACCAAGATTTTAAGAAAAAACATAAATCAGCCAATAATAATTATGTATAGTCATGGTAATGAAATATTATATATCATGATTGATATTATCGTATCTTCTATTTATGTGAGGATATATTTAGCAAATTAAATATTATCTTGAGCTATTTAGTTAATATCTTATTATTCTAGGATATCTTTTGATTCTAGAGGAGATGATTATAAACATTATATATTCATATTGACATTAATTAGAAGGATGAGCTATTCGATTCTATTTTCCTCTCTCATTTATCACGTGGTCATAGTGAGAGTGACCATACTAGAATTTTTATTCTTTTTTTTTTTTTTTAATTATGTTATTCACTTTTTTGAATTGCTTCATAGAATGTCAAACTATCTTGTGATGGTAACTAATAGTCTAATACTTTGTATAAAATTTTACACACAAGTATTCAATGCTATAGAACTAATAAAGTAATAATTAAGTAAGAGAAGATGGATAATAAATTAAACTTTTAATTGTTGATTGAAGTTGATTTCGACCCAAATTATTATTACCCAATATCAAATAATAGTTTGTTTTTGTTTTTTTGGTGTTTAGTGAGCCACAAGGACGGGCAATGAGAGTGGATTCCAAGATCTTTTGAAACCGAAAGTGAAGCTCTAACCACTTGAACTATACTCCACTCTCAATACCAAATACTAGTTAATTAGTCAAACAAATGTGCAATACAAAAATAGTGTAACATTAAAATAACAAATGAGAAGCAAAGAGAAAATGAGCTACAATTTATTGCTTGGATATCCAGACAATAGAATTGTCTAGAATATATCTCAATCAAAATGATTTTAACTACTACAATGTCTACAAAAGTAAAAAGTAAATATATTCTGGATATCAAAACCAAAAAATGCAAATTACAAATGTAATAACTGAGTGTAAATATAGTCTAAGATAGTGGTATAGATCAAATGGCCGATAATCACCTCACCTAATAACAAGAATAATGTGTTGGGTATAAATGGGATTTTTGTTAAAGAATGTAATTGTAAAGAATTTGGTTCCAGACATCAGGAACTCCAGGCAAACACCAATGACTGCAATCCATTGAAAAGAGCCCATAAATAGAAGGGTGTGCATCTTTTCTTAGCAATGATAGCTGTGTAACATCAAGCAATGTCACCGGCGTCTTGATCTTGCTTAGAGCTCGCTTCACCACTGTCACGGCTTCAGGCATCGGTCCGGGGTAGTTGTACCCTATCACTGGCTGTGTTTGTCTTAAACAGTTTATAGCCCCTGGCTCATTCCAGTCACTCCCACTGGTTTTCATAAAGTTCATTTTCCAACATTCATGGTCAGTTAAGAATGTAATCAGGAAAACTATAAAATGAATATACCAAGTATGTAGTATATTTCAATTGTGTACGACCTATACGAAATCAACCGACAATCTTTTAAGCTTATATACGTGTTCTACACTTTTTACATTTAGGAAAATACATACAGAGCATTGTTTTCTTCACCTAAATATTATGAATTGATTTTTGTTGATTTATCTAGTGCTAGGTTATAATTAAATACACATAAACTTATCAAAGTAATGATTTAGAGAGGGTTGATAGAAATGCTTACTTGTAATGAGAGGGAGAAATTCCTTGAAAGAAGACTTTAGTTTTTGAAGGGTTGATGTTGGTGTCTAACCAATGACCCCATGTACCAAGTGCTCTTTCAAAGGCAACCATGCGATTCATGTCTTTAAGCGTTACATTTCCGATTCGGATAAAGTCCCATCTACACAACCCAAACATTTCTCACATAAGAAAAAGAGTCCATACTTAAAAATGCCATAAAACTCGTATCCTTGATTCATCTAATTAGCAGTGAATGTTGCCTTGGAAAAATCGTTAGAACTTAAAATATAACGTAAGAAGTTAGGATCAAGGGGAGAGACTAACGGTTGTGTGGGTCCACGACGACCCCACCAATGCCAAGTGTTGAAGATGAGCATATCCATGCCTCTCCATAATCTACCTCCAGTAATAGAATCCAAGTCTAGAACTCTTCCAAATCTTCTCCTTACAACATCTACCAAATACACACTTCGGTCTATCATCACTCTAACTCCATAATCCTGTATCAATATTAAAAATTATACAACTACAATCTAAACAAACATTAACATCTTTGTATAGGAAATAACACCTATGATACAAGAATAATTTTATTAAATCAAACCACCTTTATTTGCTTAGCAAAAAATAAACAAAATCTGTTGTAAATGTGTTATAAAAGTAATTGAATTCTCAATGCATGCGTATTGAATTGGAAATAAGTGACTTACCGTAAAAGTGAATGTAGAAATCATATCTTGTCGTGTGAGAGTATATCTAGCTGTAGGTACACCCGAGACTAATAGGCATGAAAGAGATTGCCATTGATTTAGACTTAGTGAATCTCCCACAAACATTATGCTTTTCCCTCTAAATCTCTGTAAGAAATCTCGAGCATTGAATCTGAAACATAAAATAATTTAACACAAACTTGATTAGCTTAAAGTTCCATTGGTTAATTTTAATGCAAACATTAGCTCGTTATAATAATTCATGTCTATTTAAATGCTAAAGCTAGATAATAAAATGATACGCTTCACATCAAAGAATCTTATTAAGATTTACTACTTATATATCTTTCACACTTTTTCATGCCAGGTAATGAAACTAGGCCGAGGATGAGTGAGCCTTACAAGCCAATGCGGTCTTGGCCAAATTTAAACTATACATTGAGGATAGAGGACACGTAACACAATATCTCTTTCTCAAAGTGTCCCTAATAGAACTTGATTCTGTTTTCGTAACCTAAAAATAAGTCATAGTTAGAGAAGAAGCTTTAACTACTAGATTAAAGCAAGCTTGGTAATGCTGTGCTTATAAAATGCTTATTTGTGACTTTTTAACCATTGACATTTTTTTCCAAAGGCCTGAGGCCCCCTTCTAATCCGTAAATTTTAAGAGCATGCCGCAACAAAAGGATGGTCCCCACCAAAATGGAAACCGAGCGTTTCGTGGTTCAAAAATGCCTACATTTTCTCTTTCGCTTGTAGTATGGGGAAGAAGTGGACTCTATGATGCAATTTCATATTGACATAGATAGAAATAGAATTAATAATACGAGTAACGGAGTAATGCATAAATCTTATATTCACTTATTCTTACACGTGATAAGTAAGTTTGGTTACACCGTGCATCATACTATACAAACAAGATTCTGAAAACTCCAAGCAATACAAAGACACTACTCCATATATTATAAATCAAATTAAGATAAAGATAACAAAAACCTTTTTTTTTAAATCGACCTAACACTATGGTCGTATGGATTTAATGTATGACACATAAAAGATTGAGAAGATTATAGTGTTACATAAAAGTACAAAAAAAAAAAAAAAAAAAAAAAAAAAAAAAAAAAAAAAAAAAAAGAGGCGAATGAAATGGGAGACACGAAATAAGACATAGAAACACGGTTCCCAGTGTGTCGCCCGTGAAAATGTAGCTCACATCTATGTTGGGGCGTCGGTGGACTAAATTACATAAAAGAATCTCTGTCCTATCCACTCTTATATCGTATGATATGGTCCATTACCCAATGTGCCAGTTAACATCAACAACGTGTGGTTCATGTAATTTTCTAACCTTGTTAAACTTTTTATCTGTCGGTGGATATCATATGTTCTACTAATTTAATCAACTCTAAAGTGTACTTCCAATAACTCGGGCTGAATTGACATATATAAACGGTTAATCATAAATAATTGTATGTAGTAAATTAGTAATTCAATAACTTGACATGAAGAAGAAAAATAACGAAATTTCACCCCAAGCACCCTCATTCTCACTCTTTTATTTGGCAAAATTTAAACCTCATAATTTAAGGATTTATGATAATAACTTTACCGAGTAAGTTAACCTTGACAATACGGAGTATATGCTAAATATATATTGGCCATATTATCCTTAATTTATATTTTATCGACAATAACAAGATTTCATATATTAATGGTTTTCTTATATATAGATTATAAGTATGAACTACAAACAAATTTTTTTTATTAAACATATACGGAGTAAATAGTATATATAGAGGGAGTAACTATCAACTAACATTAATAAAGGTATACCTTTAATTGTAGGAACACAAAATTAATTCTACAAAGTACATGTTAGATGAACGGAATTCTGAATGCAAACAATGCATGGAGAAAACTGATTGGCATATTCTATGGCTAAATGGTAGGGAAAAATATTAAAAATGTATAGGAGTAATCACTAACTGTACACCTTTCATCCTGCTTCGAATGTGTTATCCGCCAAATTCTACATAACCTTGATTGAGAGTCCTTAACGTAACTATATCTATGAATTTTTTTAAGTGTACATGCATAACACACGTCGATACATATATATAACACGCATTGCACATTTGCACACACCACTCTACATGTTCGTGCAACAATTTGATGGGTGTTATGTGTTTAGTTATCTCAATTTGGAGTAGCTTGTAAGTATTGGCATCAATATCAGTCTTCTTGTCTTTGAGCTTTTCATTTCTATTTATATCCTCCTCTTATTTTAGAGATGATCAATATGGGCCCAACCATTGGCTTGGCCTGGCCTAACCCAACCCGATGTTAGGCGGGCTATGGATATAAATATTCAACCTTCACATAATCACGTCTAACTTACCAGTTACTTCTCATTCTTATTTAAAATTCAATTTGAATAGCTTATTTATGTGAAGTAAATAAGTTCTTAATGTCACTTTATAATACTCTTGAAATTATAAAGACAATTGACTTTTTTTTGTACTCCGTAATCAATAAATATATTAAGATTTTAGGGTTTTTTTTTTTTTTTTTTTTTGAAAACTCGTGATATTAGTACTAAAAAAAACACTTTAAATTAAAATCAGAAATTTTATTGTTATAATATAACCTAACAAATAATAAAAGAGTAAAAATGACAAGATTGGGTTGCATGTTCAAATAATGATTAAAATCTTTTTTTTAAAAAAAAGTCACTGTAATAAAGAGTAAGCTGCAGAGTATAGTAGGAATTAAAAATGGCAAGTAAACAGGTGTGATCTAATTGATTTGTCACGTATAAATTGTTGCTACTTGTCATAATGCTAGCTGCTCCTATATTCTATTTCATTTTTACCGTAAAAGAATATTATCAGGAACACTTCGCTCTCAAGGGTAAACAAAAAAAATTAAAAAAATCACAATTATTAGTTCATTGTTAGGCCCTGTTCTCTTCACCTTAAAAAAATAATATTAAGTAAAAATAATTTCAGTTCAGTAAAAATAAGTTCAGTTCAGTAAAATTAATTTCAGTTTAGTAAAAATAATTTCAGTTCAGTAAAAATAAGTTCAGTTAAGTAAAATTCAGTTTTCTTTAAGAAGAATCATAATAGAAAATCAGTAAAAATAATTTCAGTTCAATAAAAATAATTTCAGTTCAGTAAAATTAAGTTCAGTTCAGTTTAGTAAAAATAATTTCAGTTCAGCAAAATTAAGGTGAATCAAACAGGGCCTTAAGGAGCTCATTAATGTGGCTAATCATAAGTACTACATAAATTATTTTTTTTATGTATTTAGGTCAATATTGTTATTAAGGTTATGACTTACGATAAGCCAAACAGAATTACATTCGATTGATTTATTTGTCTCATACAATTTCACTTTCAAAACATGATTAAATCGGTTGACTCGAATCTATATTGACTCAAACAAGTCATACTCATCACCTCAATACTATCCAAAGCCCATCCAAATACAACAATTTTTTAACACCTCTACTTATAACGCATTATGGTTAGAACTCGTTCCAAAGTTAGGGGCGAAAAAAAGACTTGTAGAAAACGATATTGATGGTTAAAATCATTCATTGGGGTCTATTCTTGTTGGGTCTTGCTTGTTGTAAATTGTAAGCCATAATGGCTGAATGAATAAATTGTCATTTGCCAGTCTTTTTCTCAATTGGGGGGTACCAACACAACACAGCACAACAATGCTGGTATTAACTGTCTATTGGTGTGCCCACTTCAATTTTATTTAATTCTCGTCAAATTAAAATCACTTTTTTCATTTCATTAAACCATATTATAGTATCATCTTAGCCCATAAATCATCATTCAATAAATTCTATGTCACTTTGTACTAATATTAAAATTAAATAATTTGATTAAAACATATTACCAACTTAGCATATAAATCATCATTTAATAAATTCTATGTCACTTTGTACTAATATTAAAATTAAATAATTTGATTAAAACATCTTACCAACTTAGCATATAAATCATCATTTAATAAATTCTATGTCACTTTGTACTAATATTAAAAACTAAATAATTTTATTAAAACATACTACTATATATTATCAACTTAGCCAATCAATCATCATTTAATAAATTCTATGTCACTTGGTACTAATATTAAAAATTAAGCAATTTTAATAAAACATATTGTCAACTTAGCCCATAAATCATCATTTAATAAATTCTATGTCACTTGATACTAATATTAAAAATTAAATAATTTTAGCTGTAAAGTTTTACTTCTTTTTTAATAGGTGCAACCGACAAAAAGCCCGTGCTATATTCACCCAATCGCCGCACTCTAATTTACCAAAAGTGATCAATTGTTAAAATTAAATTAATAAAATAACAAATATTCCTCAATTTTGATGCGTAATTTTCCCTTCATCATAAGATGTTGAATCCTAAAAACACCACGACATAGATTTGCCTTCATTAACCCCAATAAAAAATTTCAATCTCCAATGCCAATCTTATTGGCATACGTGTTCTTAAGAGTGCACGTTAATTGCTTTGTCACTTTGCACAATTATCGTCTTTCGAGTTTATATTATCTGACCACTTAACTAATTCTTTATTCTACTCCATACATTATTTATCGCTTAATAACACTCCACATTAATAGTTTTAGTTTAGTATAGTATACTAATCTTTCCTAAAAACCAAAAAACCATTACCACTAATTGTTAAATGTATTCCCATTTTAGTAACCCAATTGGGAAAAAATGGTTTATGTTGGTATGATATATTGATATATATAAGTTCACATGATTAATAAAGTTGATAATTACACTTACACCCACCAACTTTATATTCCAACAAATTAAAGTACTTTCCCCACTATTTACTTTCTTGTACATTAGCTAGATCAAGAAAGAATTTCAAAAACTAGCAAAATGAACCTTTCAACAATGAAACAAAGTTCAACCTAACTTTGGCTTTCCAACAATATTCAGATTAATTTTGGAATACTATCCAAATCTACACCACTCTGTATGTTCTTTTCACCTGAATTTTTCGCTGAAACCATTTTTTACTATACGAAAGCAAGTATTAACAAGAAATTGCATCAATAAAACCAAAAAAATTAGAAAAATTACCTGGCTAAATTGCAAGAAAGAGGCTTCCAACCATAATGAAGATAAAGTTGATCTCTTCTACCATTTTTGAGGCAATTGAATTCCTTCTGAATAAAAGGGCAAGCAGAGAAATTGTAAAGAGGAAAAGAGAAATCAGCCACCCATCTTCCTTTGAAATAATCACATCTATTTCTATTAATATTGTTGCTATTATTATTATTATTGTTACTAATAATAGTATTTCTTTTACTAGTATTGTGTTTACTACTATTTCTTCTGCTGCTACTTCCTCCTTCTGCTATCATGATTCCACCAATCAAGAGGAGAGAGATTATGCATTTCGTCCATAATCCCATTTCTTTCTCTCTCAACAACTAGAGAGAGAAAGAGTGTTTTTTTTTTCTCTCTATTTTTGCTCCTATTATATTTGAGTTTGTTATCTTTAATTTGATGTGGGTGTATTTTACATATATAGTGTGCTTAGGTTCGGAAGTTTGGTTTTTAAATTGTGTGTTTATTTTTTTATTGTAGAAATTGAATAAGGTAAGTGTGTGTGACAGTGTTTGTGTTCTGTTTGTGTTGGTGTGGACTGTGGCCTTTTTACATTGTGGCCAACATATGTTTAGTCTTGTTGTTTAATCGTATAAGATTAATTTAACTATTATTTTAGTATAAGTTATTGTAAGTCTAAGGGTCTATTCTCTTCATCTTAATTTCATTTCAGTTCAACTCCAATAAGTTCATTTTAGTTATAAGTATTCAATAAGTAATGCTATCAAAACTTATCACTTTAGTTATTTGATGCGGTTCCAAGGCATCAATATTGTTATTATAATTATTTTTATTGTTATTTTTAGTTTATTATTAGATGACCGAATTTATTAGGATATTTTTGTTAGTTTAATTCAGTTAGTATAAGATAAGCTTAACTTTAAAGATCATATTTGCAAAATATTATCTTTACAAGTTAGAGTTAGTTTCCTAGTTAGATTAGAATTTGTTTTACCGATTTTTAGGCTAATTATTTAGCTAGTAAATACGTGATGGTGTTTAACGAAAAGTATGATTGATTGATTTGAAATTTATAAAGTTTTACGTAAGCTTGTGCTTGTGTATTCTTGGCCTAGTTTAGGTTTTAAGCTCGTGTTGCTTAGCGTTTTTTGACCGAGACTCAAGATTCCAAACCTTTCAACTGCGATTGAAGGTTATATCCATCAAAATTCATATCATTATTTACATTAAAATCAAGGGTATCGGGTTTAAAGTTACTCTCAATTTATAAGAATGGAACGTACTTCGAAATGGTTGAATGAAAAAATCTGGACTCGGATATGAAAAATGATAAGAGCCTTTTTAAAAGAAAGATTACAGGGCCTATTCTGATTGACTGAACTAAATTGAGCTGACCTGAACTGAACTGGACTTTTGGAACTGAACTTAACTTAACTAAACTGAATATTTTATGAGAGAAGAAAACTATGAACTGAACTGAACTAAACTAAAATTATTGGAACTGAATTGAACATAAGCTGAAGAGAACAAGTCCTAAGAGCATGCACAATTCAAGGCAAATTTGTCAAAAAAAAAACCCCTTTAAATACACCATTTTGTGTAAAAAAACATTTTAAAAGCTTTATCGTTAAAAAACAAAAAAAAAAATCGAAGTTAAAATTTTTTTGTTCAAAGAAACCTAGTATCTATCACTAATTAACTTAACTAACCTCTAATCTCTTCTATTTACTCTCTAACCCTCCCTTAACTATTTAATAATTAAATTAATTTATAAATAATAATAATAATAAATAAATAAATAGATAAATAAATAAATAAATAAAAAACACACCATTCTTACCACCAGCCACCCTCCTTCCTTTCCCCCCTCCCCTGGCGACAACCCCTTCCCCCAACTTAGTCGCGCGCCTTAAGCATTCCACCTCCGGCTAACCCCCTTCCAAAACCCTAAACCTAATAGCCCACCTTAAGCTTATCAAAACCTAAAGCAAAAAAGGAGAAAATCAGCAACGAATTCCACAAATTAAGCAAATAAACCTCGTCAATGTCGGTTTCCGATCTTTAACGACATGTTTTCCAGCGTCTATTGATGACTTAGTTTCCTCGCTCATTTTATCTTTTTCAAAATTGAATGACTATAAATGGTTGAATGTTGATGGTGGTTGATCTAAAGAAGGAGGGAAAAGTGAAGTAGAAGAGGGAGGAAGAAAACACAACCCTCGTCAAGGTTTGTGGGCGGTGGTATTTCAAGAATTCCGGTCAAGTAGGTGTGGCTGGGGTGGTTTTCGCGGCTGAGGTGGTGGATAGGAAGGTTGCTAGGGTTAGGGTTTTGAGAGGGGATCGATCGTAGGTGGGGTCAAGCTGTTTGGAGGTGGTTTTCATTGTTGAGGTGGTAAGGGGAAAAGGGAAAGGGGGTTGGCGGCGGTAGAGTTGGGTTATCGGTGGTGGGAACAGCTCCCATGGGAAGTGGAGAGAAAGGAAGGTGGCTACGTTGGTAGTTAGTGTGGTAGTGGTTTTTTTTTAATTTATAAATTAATTATTAAATAGTTAAATGAGAGTTAGAGAGTAATTAGCAGATATTAGAGGTTAATTAAGTTAATTAGTCATACTAGGTTTTGTTAAACAAAAATTTTTTTAACTTCGGGTTATTTTACGATAAAACTTTTAAAAGGTTATTTTTTCACAAAATGGAGCATTTAAAAGGTTTTTTTCCCCTTTTTTTACAAATTTGTCCACAATTCAATTTACACATTTATCACTTTACTTTGATTTAACATGACACAATATTGCAATTCAATAACAACAGTTATTTCTGAAATTAACAATACAAGGAACACATCTATCTATAACTAATACTAAAGTAGAAACCGCTGCATCATTAATTTATCCACATTGTACACATGTCAGCTTATCCTTTAATTTTTTCCCGCCTAAACTTTTATTCTCTTTCACATTTTTTTATGGAAAAACTAAATATCAACTACAAAATACCTTTTTTTTTTTTTTGAGAAAAATCAGGGGAAGCAAATATAATTCATGAGATGACAAATTGTCCATAAGTACATAAGGAGTTGTGCCACTTGGACAACAGTTAGCCCAAAGTTGTTCTACACTATATGGAATAATACGAGCTGTGCGCTACAAAATTCCCTTCCCGCTTAACATGAGACCATGAAATATAATACTATACATTAAACTGTTCACAATTTTTTTAATAAGATCCGTTTGCCAGAACTGAGGGGTCTTTCTGTGGAAACCTTCACGAACCTTTTGGCTACCATTTACCTACCCAATGAAACATTAGTGTTTTAATATTGTTTTCTATAGCTCTTTTTTTTCATTATATCCGTGTATCACACGAGAGCTAATCTAGTAAGAATATGAAAACATATATATATATATATATATATATATATATATATATAAACATTAAAAACACATAAAACTAATACTGTACTTCCTCCCCCCCCCCCTTTTTTAGTCCATCACTTTCTAAAAATAGAAACCTCAAATTTAATGAATCACCTTCAGTTATAGTTAATAAAATCTCTATCTCTCCACTTATTTATTTCTTTCCATCTCTGTCATCTCCAAAATTTGTTTAAGAATCCGCAATTTTGAAAGTGATGAATCCAAAAAATGGAGAGATTGTTTTATACACTCGGGTGTACCGTATACCCATAAGTATTTGTTCTTATTTTGATGATTGTTTTTCATTTGATCATTAAATGAAGAACATAAACTAAACTTAGGTTAGTTGGGTCACTTGGGTGTACGTACACCCAGATGTACATAACAAATTCCATAAAAATGGAGGAAGTATATAATGATAGAGTATAAAAAACTTATTCATGGGTCTTAACCATTAGCTTAACTTTTTGGTTGAGATTGTCCACGTACTAACATGGTATCGGAGCCAGCATGACACAAAGGTCATAGGATCGAATCTTATCCGTCCACCCCTCACTTTCAAGTGAAATATTAAGTGCATGGTATGAGGTAGACCCATGCTGCATCCACGCTTTAAAGCCTAAAATGCTCTCGTGTAAGGGGACGTGATAGAGTATAAAAACATATTCTTGGGTCTCAATCATTAGCTTAAGGTTGAGATGGTCCACTAACATTTAAGTGTTTATTTTAATTATACCATGTTGAGCCCAATAACAACCCACATGTGAGCATTCTCTTGCCCCACACTAATTCACTAAAAAGGGGGAGTGTAGTAGTAATGGAATCCCACATTAAAAGAATTCAAGAGTTACCATCACAATATAAGGCTAAGGGGATACTCCCCTCATTGCCATATGGTTTTGAGGTGGAAACTCCTTGGTCTTGTAAAGTGGTGGACTTGCACTCTCCCGTGACCGGTGCAGCCCAGACCTGTGTTTAACATGGTATCAGAGCCAGACCCACAATCTCACGGTTGGGGCCTTAATGGCTAAACTATATTGGGCCAAAAATTATGCCCAGCTCACATATGATGGGGAGTGTTGAGCACAAGAACAACCCACATGTGAGCATTCTCTTGTCCCACATTAATTCACTAAGAAGGGGGAGTGTAGTGGTAATGGAATCCCACATTGAAAGAATTCAAGAGTTACCACCACAATATAAGGCTAAGGGGCTACTCCCCTTATTTCCATATGGTTTTGAGGTGGAATCTCCTTGGTCTTGTGAAGTGGTGGACTTGCACTCTCCCGTGACGGGTAGGGCCAGACCCGTATTTAACATACAACAATATTATTGAGGGATCACAACTAGTTGTTGAAATTTTCTTATTAAACATGAGTGTAATACATTTGTCTTAGTTAATTAACAAATATAATAATTTAATAAGGTGATCATAGATAAGCCAAAAAGATTATATAAAAAGAAAAAGATACATGTTGCATATAAGAAGCTTAATTAAAATGGAAAGATTTGACAATAAATAAACATTTATTACATAGCTTTACTCGTAAATTATTGGTAAATTTTCAATTTAACACTAAAAAGGAAGTTGTAGGGAATATTTCAAGCATTACTCCAAACTTGAACCCCATTGTAATCATACATTAAAGTACGGTGGCGTCCAAAAGGAAAGAAGATAGAGAAAAAGAGTCGCCAACAAGTTTTAGGAACTTGTAAATCGTTCACGAGGTGAAGGGTACACCCCTTAACGATCCAGGACATCGTCAACTCCAATAGGTCTGGAACCATGACTGGTAGTTCGGGGATGAAGGTACAAATCCAACCTAAAAGAGATTGAACCTGCCCTAATAATAGGCCTCTACTTTATTCTGATCGTATTCATGTGCGCTTTCTTACTAACATGCAATCAATAGATTTACCCTAAACCTGTTTATCTATGTTGGTTGAATATTAATGCACAAATAAATCTATTATTGGCGATCACTTTAATTATAATCATATTACCCTAAACAAGATTATTAATCATCTTATTAAGCGTGATTACAGGTACAAATTCCCTTTAAACATACATAAAAGGCGTGATCAAGCAATAACAATAAATATATATCAAGCAACATAATAATAATCATAATTAAAATAATCATAATCATA